TTGTTTTGGCTATATTTTCTCTTGCTGTATCTTTTCCTTCTCTCTCTCTTGGTTGCGTATATAAGCACGTGCTGTAAATGTAAACGATACGATATTTGATATAAAAAAGTTGAATCAAGCGTACTTGCATGAAAGTAAGCACCTCTTGTCTCTAAAACCGTCACACTAATATTAAAATTCTCATGTATCTATCTATGTTTTTTAACAATTTGATTTATTTTATTTTTCATTATATATCTGAAAGTCTTAACTAATAACTAATCAGAAATGGATATCAGACTTTACTTTTAAAATCCTATTAAATTCCAAATTGAAATAAATATTAGGATTTATTAAAAAATCCCCATGAATTTGAATTAACACTAATAAAATCCAATAAAATCTCAATAAATCTCAATAAATCCCAATAAATCCCAAGACCAATCTAAATACCGGAATTTATTAAAAGATCCCGGTGAATTTAAATAAAATAAAATAAAATCGTAATAGATCTCAATAAATCTCAATAAATCCCAATAAATCTCGAAACAGAAAATAAATACCGGGATTTATTAAGAGATCCTAATAAATCCCAAATAAATAATTCCCGGTAGCTGCTGCAGACGGAAGAGAGAAACATAACGAGACAAAAAAGTGACTACCGATAAGATAATATGAACAGCCGGTTGAAGTTATTTATCATCACAGCTTTCAGTCGAATTTTCTCTTTCTGTAAAAATATCATTTCATGTCTGTGTGCCTATCATTACTAATAATGTTCACCATCAACAGAACAAATCTTTGGATTGGCGATAGTTTTGAATGACTTCTTGATAATAATAGCATGAAACTAGCTAACTAAATATACGTGTATATATATGCATATATTGATGGGAAACCATTTCATCAGCTTCATACTTGTTGAAAAAAAACAAAAATACTTCTTACTTTACAAAATAAAAACAGAGAAAATGAAGATAATTATGTTTAATTTCCAACCTCGGTTAATTTTCCAAATCGTACCTGGCCCGGCTACAGCGCTGGTGCAGAAATAATAAAGCGTGAACCACTTTAACTAAAACCTTTCGCAACGGATTGACTGAGAAATTGCTTAATACTATGAATACGAAATAATCAAAAAGAAAAAGGCTAACGTTCACAAAGTGATCATATATCAATTGCGCCTTTTTATTGGAGCTTTACGTATACGTGAATACATGCGGGTAAATCCATGGATATCCAGCCACTTTTTGGAAAAGTTTTTTTTCAGTTTTTTTCCTCTATCAAACGGCTGATCCACTTTAGAAAAGATTATTGATCAAAAAAAGTTAGCTTTCATTATCAAAATTCTGGACTTCCAGGTCAATTTCTCGGTACATGTCGAGATACATAGTAAACGTCAGGTAGCTCAGCTAAAGCGCACTTACGGATGATGCAAAATACCGTTCCATGGTCAACTTTTTATGCTGAATCTGATGGAAGGGTCTAAAAGCATTTTTGAAATGAAAAAAATCATTCATAAGGAGAGTCTGGAATTTTGGGGGCATTTTTGTGGAAAAGTGGATATATAGACTATATTTCATCAGCGAAAGTAACCATCAATCGCTAATACCTCAAATATCTTATTGATGCGCAATGTACCCACTCTCTTGTATCACGCACTAAAGTTCTTTTAGCAAATACCTTTTCGCACAGGTGTCCTCAGCTGATAGCTGATAGCTGGTCTGGATAGTTTTGATCGCAGTCTTGGGTTGTTTCTAATTAGATAAGCCCTACCATTACGTTATTAGTCCTTTTATCTAGGCATTTGTTACGATTATCAGGCAATAACATTGAATGAAAACGTCGATACTTTGTTTAATCAAACGAAACAAAAGGTAAGGGTGATAAAACGAAAGATTGTCACACGAGGACATCTAGGTATGGAGACGCATGCACAAAAAGTTTAAATTGAAACGAATACAAATGCGGGATGAGTCACTGAATATCGTATAGAATAGATCGTTCACCAGAATTATTTCTCTATTATCTTTTGTACAAACTCAATGCCGAGGCCAAAGTATTGCCAACATCCAACGAGACGCGCAACATTTACATCAGGAGCAAAAGGAGTTAGAGCAGTCTCATTGAAATTATCCATGTCTTTAATCAGTCGATATGATATCACGGACACTCGTGTTCATTGGCTCTGTCCTAGATGTCATACGTTGGAATCAAGTGAACTGAAAATTCATCAACCAATGCAAATCAACAACAATCGAAGCCTCACTGATACTGAATATACGGTAGAAGATATTTCTTCTGGTGAAGATGATGACGATGAAGAAGATGCTGACGAAGAAATTTCGTATGACAATCTAGAAGATGAGGATGTTTACATGAATGACAACATGGAAGCTGAGATAAAAGACAACGATAAAGAAACTGATGCTGAACCAATGGATGAAGAATCAGATGATGTTTCTTATGATCTCGAATATCACCAAAATGAAGCAATAGAAAAATTATCCACTATCTTTCGATTATTGAATATAAAACCAATTCAAGACAAGTAAATCGCTCACTTAGTTCTCGGCTTTCTGTAAATGTTCTTATTCTTAGGGTGGCTGTCCGTCCCATTCGTGCTAAGATCGATGAAGTATACAGATATCTTCATGGATTATGTGATGTGTTAGAAGGACAACCGCAATATCAACGCAATGTAAATCCGTATAATCTGTTGATAAGTGAATCAAACGAGCTTTTGGATGGCCTGAAAAGGTTGTTCGATGAAAGCGATGACAAAGAACAAGCCCGTCTGATGACAATCGAACCTCAACAATGGGGCCGAAAACAAGTCGAAAAGTGGTAAGTTATTTATCCTTAGTATTTTCCATCAGTAATCATCATTTGATTTGATTATCTTTCACTTGGCATTTTTCTATTGTTAAGTTTAATTCAGGACAAAACCAGGCACGGCGATCACTTGTTCTGAGAAAAAACGGAGGAGTTTTAGCTTATTCACAGTGTTTACGAGGAAATTTGCCTTTATCCGATGCAACATTTGACGCTGTGGTTAAATTTTACTGCGAAGATGATATAAGTCGAGTGTCATCTAATGTCAAAGACACGATCCTCATCAATAAACAACCGGTACCGGTTCGATTTATGGAAATGACAGTCTTAGATGCTTATCGAATATTCAACGAAAGACAATCTGATGCTGTAGCACGATCGACTTTCAACTCACTTCGACCTCGAGAAGTCAAAATAGCCTCACCACATGAAACATGTATGTGCACTACCCATGAAAACATGGATCTTCTATTAAAGGTTTGTCCCTATTGTCAATGATATTGATTTACTTCTAATGTCCCACTCATAATAGGCTTGGAACAACTATTATCAAAAGTATATAAAAAAAACTTCTACAGGAAACGATGGCAAGTTCAATCTAAAGGATCTCATCTCTCGAATGATTTGCACGACTGAACCAGAGGATTGCTTTAATGGAACATGTGAAAACTGCCAAGAAGAAGGAATTGTCGACATTCTCATCGGAAACAGTATCATTGACATCGACGATGAATGTTCGTGGACGATGTGGAAGAAAATGAAAACAAAATTCGACCTCCAACACATAATAGGCTCAGTTGATTCTCTTTTAACTACGATCGAAGAAAGTTGGCCGGCATTTCCTATCCACACCTATTATAACAGACAGCAACGTGATTATATCAAGGAATTGCGCACCCAGTCAATGAACAAAACATTTATCGTCGCTCATATCGACTTCTCGATGAACTACACACTCATTCGCCAGCGTGAGGTGTAGCAAGGCTTCTTCAGTCATCATCAAGTCACATTGTTCACTATCCATCTGACTATTGGACAAGAGCATCGCAACGTAGCAATAATTAGTAATCACCTGGAATACACAACAGCCTTTGTCTTTTGTGCACAGAAAATTCTCGTTCAGTTCATAAAAACGAATTAGTCTTTGGTCAAAAAAGTCAATTACATTAGGTAAGTCTCATCTATATCACACAAAAACTTACATGACTGTTTTTTATGTATACGCTGACTTTCTTAATTCTCTTAGCGATGGCGCAGCTGCTCATTTTAAGAACAATGCGAGCATTCTAAATCTAGTTCATCATAGGCGTGACTTTAATTTGGATGGTTGTTGGACATTTACTGTAACCGGGCACGGTAAAGCAGCACGTGATAGCATCGGAGCAGTGTTGAAGTCCACTGCAAGGCGTGCCACACTTTCCAAGAATATTCTTCTGTCCACTGCGAAGGATTTCTATGAATTTTCTCTCAGGCATCAATCAGAAATAGCCAACAATTCAAATAAACAGAATCCTGGTATACATGTTTTCTTCTTAGATTCTGCAGAAGTCGAAGAGGTAAAAGAGAGAGTTATCAAAGTCAGAAGTGAACAACTTCGCTCTTCAGGTGAGTCAAACTATTTTCTAATAAATATTTACACTCTCCATTTAGGCATGATCAATGGTATCCGAAATAAGCACGAATTCCAACCTATCAACAACAACACAGTTCAATGTCGACTGACTTCTCGATCAACATAAGTCACCACATTTTCGTTTAAATGAAGTTTTTTTTTATGTACATTGCTTTTCGAAGTTTTTCGAAAAACACTGGCTGACAGTTTTCAGCAATCTCAGTTGTCAGATGATTTTGTAATCAAAGTAAAAACATATTTTAAGATATTAGCGATTGATGGTTACTTTCGCTGATGAAATATAGTCTATATATCCACTTTTCCACAAAAATGCCCCCAGAATTCCAGACTCTCCTTATGAATGATTTTTTTCATTTCAAAAATGCTTTTAGACCCTTCCATCAGATTCAGCATAAAAAGTTGACCATGGAACGCTATTTTGCATCACCCGTAAGAGCGCTTTAGCTGAGCTACCTGACGTTTACTATGTATCTCGACATGTACCGAGAATTTGACCTGGAAGTCCAGAATTTTGATAATGAAAGCTAATTTTTTTTGATCAATAATCTTTTCTGAAGTGGATCAGCCGTTTGATGGAGAAAAAAACTGAGAAAAAAACTTTTCCAAAATAGTGGTTGGGTCTCCATGGATTTACCCAATATGAAAACTAATCGTGAGGGTGTCGGTGTGAGTCTTTGAGGTTTACAATTTATTTGGTACGTTCACTATCATACGTATCATTTTCTAACGGAGACAGTACTCTGTAAAAAAAAAGGTGTCATACTGAACCTTTTAGAGTTCTAGATTTGGGTACCATTTTCAGAACCATTTAAGGTTCAAGCAAAATCTGGTTCGAGGTGGAACTTTTTTCTGCTGCTGCAAAAAAAGGATTTTGTTCCAATAGAAACCAGTCCCTTCAACACACTGAATCAAGTTCTATTGATATGATCAAGGCCTGTTTAAAAAGCCACCCATGTAGCCGGTTTTATGAAATAATGAACATTACAATACATTATTTTGCAATAGAAATGTAATGTATATAATTACATAATAATGCATGAAACAGGTTGCATTATCATGCAATTGCATACATTATTATTATTTATAATACATTGTAATGCATTGAAAACTGCATACGTGGCACTCGCTTCACGAGATTTACACAATCATTTTAAATCTATATTCTAATCACGTAATAGCATCTCTGTGGTTCTGTACATCTATCCCTTAACGTATCCCCTATCTATATCTATCCCCTTAACTTAACCCCCTTAAACTAGCCCATTAGCCTTAATCTACCCCCTTAAACTTACCCTTTAACTTTCATCTACCCTCTGGTCTATATCTATCTTCTTATTTACATCTATCCCCTAACGTATTATTTGGATCATATCGATACGAATCTAAAACAAAAGACAATTAATGAATAAATAAGTTTGTTATTATTGAATTCGAACTTACCATTACGATCATAATCGATATCAACCTAAAACACAGCAAAAAGAAATAAAAATCATTTTAATATTGAAATGTAACTTACCATTTCGATCATATCGATAAGAGCCTAAAGAAAAAGGCAATGAATAAATAACGTTTTTATTATTGAATTCGAGCTTACCATTTGTATTATGTCGAATTGTATTCGAAACCGAAAACAGCTCAAGAACGCATAGATGACATAAGGCTGTTTCAATTGTAATTATTAAACTTGTTTTAGATTTTGAGAAGGAAATGATGCATAGAAGAAATGATTCTCGATCGAATCAGTTATACTTGATATTGCGAGCAGTTTTACTTCACTCAATGCATCAGAAACTGAGCAATGACGAAGATGGAAAACGAAAATGGAAGTACTGAAAAATTCTTTTGGGAGGTTTGAGGACTGTGACCACTTTCATTCTACAGAAAATTCTAAAAACATTCAATACTCCAGCAGTCTTTCGTTGCATCAAATAAAAACTCGATTGGATTTTGGCTTGTTATTGTACGTTTTCGCGATCGAGTATACTCGGAAACTCTTCGGTTTACCTGGGGAAAGATGTTGGAAACTGAAAGGGTAATATGGTGTACCTCACCAGACTTTCACTCTAGTTTTTGATAGTGTAAGCATCCTAGAATACCCTGGTGATTTCTGAAAATACGATTAGGTTTCCAATATCAGGAAAAATGAGTTCCAAAATACTCTGAGCATAGTAACACAGTTTACATTTTTTATTAGCTCTTTAACTTGTGCGACTCTTATTGAGAAAAGCATGATACACAGAAAGCTACGTTAAATCAAACCTCTACCTTTCAAATCACCTTTTCAATAACTTGTTTACGAAAATGATGAATTTTCTAATTTAAAAACTTTACTCTAAATAATGCATTGAAATGCATTGAATGATAATGGCTTATCTTAAATTAATCCAAAATTCCACGTGTTTTATGAAATAATGGAAAATAGCGGGTCATTTTCCATTATTTATCTATTATCCTGTGCATTGGCAGGACAGTTGAAATGATGCACTTCATCTCTTACAAGTGAGATTCACTGCTATCATACCTCAAAAACAACCTATACGTTCACGTTTATAATTGTAGCCCCTCAGACGTGCTTTCACCTAGCCAACAGCAGCCATTGCATTCTCTTTCAAAAAATGCTGCTATTTCCTATCCACGCAACCTTAAATAGAGATAATAATGATTTATTCTATACGATAAAACCTACGAGTCAGTTATTAATCGAGATGAACCTAAATAGAAAACGAAAAAAAAATGATTTTTTATTTAAATAAAAGCTTATCGTTCAGTTAATAATTGAGATAAACCTGAATAGAATGGTGTGGGTGTGTTTGAATAGAAGATTTGACCACACACACACACACACACGAAAGACCTATTTTTTGCGAACATAATGATTTTTCACAATAGAACTATAAATTTCAAATTGTAATGCTGTTAGTCAAATTTAAGAAATAAAGCTGTCTTTTGGCAAAATAGGCCTTCAATAGCCGAAAGACTTGCAATGGAATAATAAACAAAGAAACTTTAGACGTTATATTAACGACTAAGCGACCGGTTAACCACTATTCTTAACGAATTAAGTGGCGTTTATTGTTTGCCTTTAATTGTTCTTATTCGATAAGTCAAATTATTCGAGATTTGCATTAAAAAAGTCGCGTTCAAGAAATAATTTATCTTAGTTCAAGCGACTTGCGCTAGAACCATCTTTGGAAAAAAGGTTCAGCTTAAAAAAAATGGTGCAACATCGAACTCTTTTAAACATCCGGAAC